CACGACATGCACGTATTCGCGCGGTTTTGACATCGTTTTTTTCACCGTAGAGAGGCACCGCCGAGAGAAAACGATCCGTCCAAACATCAGCCGAAGCGACTTCGATGTGACCGAGATGGAGAGGTGTGAAGTTTTCGCCGGACGGGGTCGTTTCCGGCGCGGGCGGTCGCGCTCGCGGCGGCGGCCCTCGGCGTCGAGCGCGCGAAGGAAGCCCGACACGGACGCGGCCTCGTGGGTGAAGCGCCCCCAGGCGCCCGGGGGCGTGGCCCAGCGGTCCGCGCGCCGCCGCAGGCTCGCCTCGTCGTCGTCGTCGTCGTCGTCGCTCGCCGGGGGCTTGACGGCGCCGACCTCGGGCGGCGGGCTCGGCCGCGGCCGCACGCGGAGGCCGACGAGGCTGACGACGCCGCCCTCGTTGCGGATGCCGCTCGTGTGGTCCACGCCCGTCTTGAAGATCGCCGCGCCCGCCGAGCCCAGGAGCGCGTGCGCCGCGTGGTCTCCCGGGTCGACGTCGTACCAGAAGCGCGCGCCGTCGCAGGACACCGCGCGCACGACGCCCCCGAAGGACCGGGGCTCGGCGTCCGGGCCCGGCGGGAAGAGGCGCACGCGGCCGTTCGCCGCGTCGACGGAGCCGCAGAGCCGCGGCGCCTGGACCTGTGTGGAAATCAACCACTGGTTTGGGGGGTCCCCACCAAACTTCAGAACTCTCTATCTCGGCCAAATCGACGTCGATTCGGCTGATTTTTGGACGAATCGATTGCTCTCATCGAGTTCTCGAAGCACGGCAGAAAACCTCGCGTCGAAACCGTCGCATACGCTCACATTGAAGTCGGGTTGAAGATTTGATTTCCACACAGGCCTGGACGACGACGAGGCGGTCGCCCTTGGCGACCGCGACGTCCTCGGCGACGCCGACGGCGTTCGGCGGCGCCTCGGCGATGGACGACGCGGCGAGCGCCGCCGGGTCGTCGGCCGGGGCGCAGTAGAAGACCTCGGACGGCGCGACCTTGACGAGGCGCGGCACGAAGCGCTCGGGCCGCACGTCCGTCTCGTCCTCCGACTCCGTCGGCGTCACGG